CACCTAGGATCACTGCGAAGTTTATAAGATATGAGAAGTTATTAGTTGAAGAAATTTCATTTTCAAGTATAGTTTTAGGTTCACTTTTCACTTTTTTACTTCAATAATGTTTAAGATGATAAAACCAATAATAGTAATAGCTGCCATTGAATGTCCTTAACAAAGGCGGAATACTGCATGCTCTATTTTAAAAAAGGTATTAGTTGAAAAAATGTGAAAAACATATCAGATGAAACATTAAATGAGATAAAATAAAGGATCACAAAACTATTTACAACAAATTGTCAATAATAAGCTGTAAGAAAATTATATACATATATATATATATATATATTCATTTATTAATAACTCTATTTGTTAAAAACATAATTTGTTGTTTATTCATTAACAACTAACTATTTATTATAGATATAAGAAAATTCAAATTTATTTTCTCAATGATTCATATATATACTGTATATACAATATGGTATACACACTAAATATTTTTAATGATTGGCAGCCAAAAAATTATTGTATCATAGTAAAATTTGCGTTATGTATACTCTACCCTTAATTAAATTGATTAAATAGTATATATTATTCCTTTTTCGCCTGTAGATTGTGAAAGAGGATTTTCTCATCAAAATATGATTAAAAATAAGATGAGAAATTCATTAGATGCAAAACTTGATGCGAGCATTCTTGGAAAGTCCACCAAGTAAAGAATTTGATTTCAATAGAGCATATATTATCTGGAATAAATCTAATTAGAAACAAACTTATAAATAAAAATTTTTTTGCCAGAAATCTTTCCTATTGTAAAAAACAATGGAAAATGAGGGGGTAAAGTTGGTAATTTTGGGGCACAAAAAACCAGATAAAACACGAAGTGGTATTGTGTTTAATTAAATATATTTTTTCAATTTATGTATACACATTTATTTATTTTTAGCGCCGTAGATAAATTAGCAATATTGGATGTAACAAAATCTCCTTTCCAATGGGTCGCCCCAACAAATATTACTTATCCTGTTGATCTAATTGGTAAAAAACATGGCGGCATAACTCTTAAAAATTCATACATGAATATATTTATACTAAATATAATTATACAATTATTACCAGCACTGTTATTAGTGAACAATAACCTATATTATTAGAATCTTCAAATGATCGTGATAAATTTATAATTATTGGATCAGTTACATCTGGTGTAATATTCATCATTGCTTTTATTGCTATTCTTATTTTATATCAAGGAAAAATAAATTGTTAATAATGTTGTTGGTGATAATGACAAAGACAAAGAATTAAATCAACAAGTTCATAATGAAACGAAAATGAATTTAATAATAATACCATTGCAATAATAATAGTAATATTACTTAAATAGAATGAGAGATTTTTTTTTTCACTTAAACAAATTAGATATATTTTTTAAAAATATAACATGTATAAATTGTAAAAATCTTTTTATATTATTATAGTAAAATTATCAAGAGTGGGTTTTGATTAAAAATTAACAAGTAGTAGTAAATATTAGATATCATTCTTATAATTTATATGTTTTAGTAGTAGTAAAAGAGTAGGTTTACATCAAAGTTCATATTTGAACAATTTCGTTTTATAAAAAAACTTTCGCGATTAGAAATAAAACATGTTTTATACAATTCCTTATTTAAATGACTGAACAAGAGTTAGATAATTGCTAATATTGAAATTGATTGTGAAATAAAATCTATATCACTAGTCCTCGACTATATTTTCGCGTTAGCCTCGCTAACAAAATAAAATATAGATAGATATACAACTATACTACCAGAGGCGTCCCTACAAGAAATTTAAAGGGGTCTCTAATTAGTAACTAAAGTTGGCCAAACTATTAATCATTAGAAAAGAAGGGTTACAAAATAATGACTTTTTTTTAAATTTAAAAATTAACTACCATAAAGCCTGGAAAGATAGCATCCCCTTTTTACATATGTGTAACATTTTTTATATATTGACGCTCAATTGGTTTAAAGTAGGGGGTGCTATCTTTCCAGACTTTACGGTATTACTATATACTGGTGAGCAATGGGTTCTTTGTAACACTATTATTACTATGCTAAAAGTGGATCTATTTAAAAAAGGTTATATTGAGTTCGGTGTTCGACGTTTTACGAAATTATGACTAACTTTAACAATACTGTATTAATCATAAGAACAAAAAATCCGCGTAACAATTTACAAATAAAGAAATATTAATATTAATAAGAAACTTCGAATTTTAACTCGTGTAACAAATATTAAGTACAATAATAAGAATAATACTGGTAAAGGATCCCGTTACTATCTTAATTAATACTTATTGATTGGTCAAAATTACGAATTCATTATCTATAAATATCAATTAAATAAGTTCTATGGGAGAAACTTTATCTATCATTCAATATGAACAATAATTTTCTCTTCAAAAGATCTCTATTCAAGAAATTTGATTTCACTTGCTTGCTTTGGTTGAATTTTATCTTGTGGAAAATCACATTCTTTCCACTTGTGACTGCATCAATCATCGACGAAGATTATAAATCTGAAGAGGATGTGTATGATGCAATTCTTAACACATTTTTTCCAGTCTTTCTTGTCATTCTGTTCAATGTTTCAGGGAAAACTGGACGCACCAAAATGTGCTGTTACCATTACTGGATGACATATTATACAACATGGTTAACTGGGTGATTACGCTTATAGTTTATTTTTCCTATTGTGATTTGGAATGTATGAAGACATTTTCATAATTTGTGCGATAGGCGCGCGATAATTATGAATAAAAAAGTTAGTGATCATTATTAGCCCTTTTGATTATATCTGTTTATTCTTAATATTTCTCATATTATTTGGAATATTGTTAGTAACAGTTCACATTTTTTATAAAATAGCGTGTTTATACTGGTCTGCCCTTTTTAACAAGGAAGGTGTTCTTCTTTACCAGCATCTGGTGACTTTCTGGCTACCTCAACAACATTAACTAAATGTGCACTGCGCAAATTTATAGAGCCAAAGAAGAACGAAAACCAAGTGTATGAAACTCTGAAGGGAGAAATCAGGGAATCGAACAAATCTATGGTCGAAATGAAAGAAGAATCAATAAAATGGGAAATCGAGATAGATTGGGTGAAATTGTGTGTCAAATTAAGCCACAATAATAATAATGGTTGAAGTTTCTTTTAGAATACTGTATTTATTTATTTATTTACATCATTCATTATATTTATTGTTTATAAATAATTTTTATTTTTATTGTTTTTTATTTTTAATAAATTTAAATTTTACATTACGTTACAATTTTTATATAAAATTTCCACGATATAAAGCTTACCCAATAACAATAACAATACATCATATATATCGCTATTGACAAAATTGCATAAAGTCATCCAAATGACGGCAGAAAGACAATCTTATTTTTCTACCCTTATTTTAAATAATTTTTTTTCTCCGAATCAAAATTCATTCTCTCTGCTTTTTTAACCCTCCACTTCTCCTCCGCCAATCCTCCAGCTATTCTTTTCTTTCGCTTTCCATTCAATTTAAATTTTGTCAGAATTGCTGATAATTTCTATAGAACACTATTCGTCCCGATACAACATTGAACGTAAGAACTAATTTTATTGCTTTCTTTCATAGTAGTAAGTTGTCCAAAATTCTTTTTTAAAGAAGGAAAATAAAAGTTGGGTCAAAACCGAAGTCATGTTATCAATAATTCTCTTTGGAACCATACCTTTCATAGAAGAAAGAAAAACTTTTGTTTTGTGGATCAACATACAAAATAGTAACTAATATCAATTGATCAAATTGTTTGTCAATTAAGTTCCCTTTGGCTTGCTTACTATATAATCCAGGTCATTTCTTGAAGTCGGTTAAGCAATGACCACAGGTTTTGGATAATTTTGGCAAGTAATCTGGCTTTAATTAAATTTCTTTACCATAACGTCATATGACTTTAAAAAACTTTACCAAGAATTTTCATATGAACCTCTATTGAATTTATTACTATTATTGCTATGTGTCTATTTTGTAATCTCCAGTCAGAATTAGAAACACTAGTTACTTATGCAGATGTTATTATTATTATATTATTTATAATCTACATACACAATTACAGTGCAATTTATAATGTCACATAATGGCTTTACAAAAGCTCATTCTCTAATATCATTGACATCATTTTCAGCATGACTCCAAAAAAAACCATGGGTTTAATTATTCATGCACCAGCAGATGCTTGCTTCCTTAAACGTTTGGGATATGCTGGGCTGATTGTGTGGCTCGAGTGAGCTGCATGGCTTTCCAGTTCCTTAATCTTTAACAAATAAAATATTCTTTAAAATCTATTTTTTTTATTATTCAACTTTTTGTACATCTTCCAAAATCGCGTTGATTTTATTTCAGCTGAAGGCGACTGATTGTATTAGTACATTATGATTTTATCACCTGCTAACCGCATCATTTTTTGATGTTATACCATTTTTGATTACCTATAACAACAAACACATCATTTTTACATCACGCGACGCCAAAATTTTAATTGTTTTTGGCCTAGTTCCTCCAATACATGTAATTCAATTATGAGAAAAAAAACTAATTTGATTTTTGATTTTTAATTAAAATTTTTAAAAAGTATATTTCAAATTATTCTTCCTTATTTATATTGTTCCAAGAAAATAGGTGTTGTGAAAGAGAATAGAGAATAATAGTCATTCACACATTATACAATGCGGAATGTGGATCTCATTGTTGCTACTACGCTTCAAGTATGCAAGCTGGTTTTGACGGCAGGTAAAATATACTAATACATACAATGTTTGTTTGTTTGTTTGTTTATAGTATAGAGATAAACGCCAAAAAAGAAATTCGTTGCAAGCAAGAAATAATAAAAACTATTACATTTTTTTCTATATTTGTCAATGAATTTAATTTTGGAAATAAGAATTAACGAAGGATTAATATTTTAACATCTCAAACATAAAGAAATTTTACAAATCCCCACGGCATATTGGGCAGTCACCATCATAACTTCTCCCTCTACCTTTATGGGCACCATGATAAACTCTAGCGTGGTATTCAATTTCTTCCTTTGTGTTCCCATAAGTATTATATATATCACCCCCTATCTTTATTGCTCTACCAGTATTAATCAAAACTTTCGCACCATTAGTCATTTTTCGACCATTTCTAGCAATTTCTCGTGCTGCTAGATGACCAGCTGCTTTTGTTCCTGCGCCTATCAATCCACCAGTGAGACCATCTAAACCTACATCTCCAATAAAATCCCCCAATCCCTCAACAAATTCACAATCACAATCTCTTCCTATTTCCTCTACCGCTTTACCGCCTAACCACACACCAGCTCCAATAACGGGAGCTGCCAAACCACCTGTAGAAATAATTGCTGTGGCTGCAGCACCCGTTGCCACTACTTTACCAGTGAACTTTGTTACTTCCCAAGTAGCACCACCAACAGCTTCAAAAACTTCACCAACATCATCCCAAAAGCCCATTTTTTGTTAATTTATGAATAGTTAGCAAATGAGTTTTCGTGTAAAATTTTTAAATATTTATAACGTATTTTTTTGTAGAGTAAGTTGGTAATGATGATTTATCTGAACCAAATCGGCTGAAAAAAAACTTTATGGGAATATTAACTCGTATATATATATATATATTTCTTATATTTTTTCAATATAAATCAAATTTCACACGACACGCCATAATAACGATAGATTTAGAAGAAATTATCATATAATATATAGTTAAGTTGCTTTAAAAACTTAAATTTAACAATCAACAAAATTTAACTATTTAGGCATAGACAAATGACTCACAAGGATTTATTATTCTTTCTCATGTTAAATTTAAATGTAAACAACTTTGCTTGAAAACAAAATTTGCAAACTGGCATTTTTAAATTCACGCGCGTGTGAATTTATTAAATTTAAAAATCGTGTGAATTTTGTGAATTTTGTGAATTTTGTGAATTTTGAGGTGTTTGGATACAAAATCCTGATTGGCTAATTATATAATTAATACTAAAGGTGTGTGTGTGCATAGATAGACAAGAAAAAGGTTACCCGAGCCTGTTTTTTGTTTGCCGGTCTCAGGAAAATTGCAATAGTGTATCCAACACCAAATTCAACCCGTTTAATACTGTTGAAATTAGTGCAAAAGAATTTAAAACGAAAATAAAAAAAAAGTGTAATTGGATTGGTATTAATATGGAAAAAGTCTCGTCAATAGTTTCCCGCTTTTTTTTTTAGAATTATTTCATCAGAAGTTGACACCGCAAAATGAACAAAAATTACTAAACGCTAAAATGTATTAGTAATTTTTTGCCTTTATCAAAATTATTGATTAAAGACAACTTGGAATACTTATCATCAAAACAATAACCATACAAAGTAAATTTGTGTAGTTTTTTTGATAATCAATTCCTTTTATTTGACCATCAAAAGTAATTTTGATAAATAATCAAAAAATAAATTGCAAAAAACAACGAATTTGCTTTGGTGGATTAGAAATCAAATCGGCAATCGCGGATGATGGTTTTTGCGAAAAATTCACCGCAAAGTCAATTATGAATGAACAATTTTTGATAATATTCCTTTTTATGTTCTAGTAGGATTATTGTTAAGTAAATAATATATACAATTATCTATTATTATTTATGAAAAAAGTTTCTCTAGCTTTATTATTATTTAAAAAAAGTAATCACGGAAAAGTAAAGAAAATAAAAATAACAATAATAATACAACCAAAGGTAGACCCTTGTTATTAATTTCGCCGTTTATATATATATACTTGCGTGGACCATTGGGGTGATCGTCTCAAAATTATGATGAGGAAAATTTTCAGATCTATAATTTTATTAATGATAAATAGAAATCTATCTAGTCCATCAATTTTTTAGCTACAGTCATCAAACGAAAACCCGGGATATAGTTAGGTTTAGTTTTTTCATTCTCGTTTAATTATTTTATTTTAAACCATTTTTTTTTTTAATGTAGTTCTTATAGTAAAATTTTAGCAAATAAAAATATCAAAAAGTGAGCCTATTTTTTAAAAATATACAAATTTCAATAGAGATTTATTTGGTGATTATAGAATTTGAATTTTGGACTATAATTTTGATTTACATAGTTGACCATGTGCCATCTTAAATTGCCCATTAGCGTGAAAATAAACAGAATCATAGTTACATTATCAATCTCAAGTATTACTTTTCTCATGTCTAAAGGCCCCCACCCGGAAGTGGAATTTCTTCCAAAGTTTGAATTCTTTTTACCAACGTTGTGGGTATTTAATAAAATTTGGAGACCAAATTTTTTTCATTGGTTTTGTTTATTTTGTATTTTTGGCGATTTATCTTTGCATTTGATCGAATTAACGAAAATAAAGGAAAAAAAAAACTTGCTCGAACAAGAATGCAATTTTATTGTTTTCATAAATTATCTTTGTATCAAACTTGATTATCACAAAAAAAAACTAAATCCATTGCTCACAAATCTAAATTAACTTTGTTTGTTGGTAATCGGGTTCTACTATCACACGTGAAATATACATGGTGGTGGTCCAGACCTAATGTCCAGGAAAACCTCATAACTACTTTCCATATTCTATATAATTTTTTATTAAGCTATTACTTGATGTATTGATGTTACATATACTGTGATTACTAGTATTATTTTTACTATTACTATTACAATCAAACCCTCGTTTCAACGAATTTCATATCTAAATCATGTTGGACAATTTATTGGTAGGATTTTAATAGTAGGTACTAGTCAGGTTACAAACTAATTCCCATTTTATCCAAATTTCCAAATAATAATAAAGAGATGAAAGCCAAAATGACAACAATAAAATCAAACATTTTATCCGAATAATAAAAAAGATCAAGGCGAACAATATTAATAAAATTGTTTAATTAAAAAAGATAACATTATCAATTACCAAAAAACTGTATAATATAAAAATGAAATTTTCTTTTATCAAATTCTTACAATCCTACACAATTAAAATTTTTTACAATTAAAATCTTTGAAAATGTCTCAACAACAATCATCATCATCATCCATCCGTCAAATATTCATGGTTATAATTATCATTCAATACATTTGATATCATCGTTGACATAACAAAGCAATTGCATCATCCAGGTAGTGATAATACCAAGGCCATTCAGAAATGAAACTCTTAACAATGTGCGTCTACCCAGATCTCTGGGATTCACAAGAATAAATGAATAGGGAGGAACAAAAAAATCATTTTTCCTGATTATCAATTATGGTTCTTTATGAATAATAAATCTGATGCTGATTGCAGACATCAGATTTAATTAAATTTCCTGTCCCAAACATGCAATAACCATGCTTTCACATGCCTCATATCTGTGGATTTTTTTCCGCAGGTGAGCCGCACATATGTTGGAAGGCTTTGGACAAAACTTTCCCTCATCTTCCTCTCAGACCAGGCTTGGCTGTTGCCACATGATTGATTGCTGATAAAGATCGGCATTTGTGTGATGCTGTTGTTTATTGATGGTAAGAGGGCACACGATGCAGAACTTGTATGTGTTGGGTAATTCTATCTATGAAGATAATAGATGTTTGGTGGTGTATTTGCTTTGCGTAACCGTTATTAATATTAATATTGCAATAATAATTTTTATTCGAATAATTCGAATAAAACGAATAAATGAATAATTCGAACAAAATGAATAAAACGGGTAATTCGAATAAAACGAATTCGATTGATCTGTATTACGAGTACTAGTACGAGTAATTGAGTAATTCGAATTAAGATTGATTTGTATTACTATTACTATTACTATTATTATTACTATTCCTATTCCTATTACGAGTAATTCGAGTAATTCGAATTAAGATTGATTTATATTGGTAACTATTATTAGTATTACGAATAGAAAGACCCGAATATTATTTTTTAAACGGCTGATTGAATTTCTTTCACTAGGTCAAAAGGCGACGTTAATCTTTTCTTTTAAAATTAATTTATAAATAATAAAATAATTCTAATATAAAAAAACTCATAAAACGAGAGAGGTTAGGTCACATCCGAAACACCATTGGACGGCACTTTGATAAATCTGTTTTATTTTTTATTGTTATTATCATGTACGTTTTTGAATGATAAGTTTAATAAAGACATTAGAGGAATGAAAATTTACATGCATAATTGTTTTTTTGTGTGAAGCTACTTCATTTTAAAAATTCCTAATGTGAAATGTAGTAGCTATTTAATAATTGAAATATCCTTTATTGTCAACTCTTTTAAAAAAGCAATATATAAAAGAAACATTTTTTTACAAAAAACATAAAAAATCAAATAAAATTACTTTTCGAATTTTCCTTCTTTTCAAAAATTATATTATAAAAAATGCCAAATTTCAAAAATCAAATCTTTCTTATTTCTATTCTTTTCATTATTGTTGTTACTATGCAAGTAAATGCGGATTCATTTGGGTACAATTGCTGTCGGTCTGCGTGTAACGCGGCGTGGGTAGGCTGTTATGCAGTAGCTGGTTTTGCGGCTGGTAAATATACATTACTTCTAATATTCATTCCTTCTGTTTATTTATTATAATAATTATTATTATATAGGTGCAATAACAGGGATGTCTATACCAGGTTTAGCCATTACGGTGCTTGGCTGTAATGCAGGAAAAGGCGGGTGTATGACTGCTTGTTCCATGAAGTTTTAAATTATTTTGTTTTATAATTATTCGATAAGTTGGAAGCAGAAATCACCTAATACTAATAATATAAATAAATGGCTGTATTTTTATATAATTATTTTTATAATCTTTTTTTTTTAATAATTTTATTTTAATTATTTTTATAATCTTTTTTTAATAATTTTATTTTAATTATCTTTTTAATTATTTTTTATAATCATTTTATTTTAATTATTTTTATAATTATTTTTATAATCATTGTTTTTTTATAATTATTTAATTATTTTTATTTTTATTTTTATTTTTATAATCATTTTTTATAATTATTTTTATCATTTTCTATAATTATTTAATTATTTTTATTTTTTATTTTATATTTTTTATTCAATAATTTTCATTAACTGTAATGAATTGATCTGAGGAACCTTTGATTTTAAAGTGATTTAATACAGTCAACCCTTGTTTCAACGAATTTTTGATAGGGATTTAGAGTATAAGGATTAAATATAATCATTTTTCAATGAATTCACATGACAATAGATCGAATTGTAAAATAAAATTAAATTATATAGTTGGCTTGGTCTAAAAACCTCCTAAAATTTTAAAAGTATGGAAGTCATTTTCTGTCCCACCTTTTAAAAATAGCTCTATTAGTTGATAGAATAGGTCTTTAGCATTAATGTAATAGAGAGATTTCTTAAAAAAATAAAATATATATTTGTTGAGAGTTCTATTCTTTTTTAAAACATGTATTTTACTTGTTCATGAGGAATTTAACACTATTATCATTGCCAAATTTAGACTAGTTTTAGACAATCAGTACTAAATTTAGACTAATACTCGACAATCATATCTAAATTTGGCAGTGAGGAAATTTTTTAATGAAGACCTTTTTTAAAATTTTTTTGAATGAATCACAAAATCACAATTTTTGAAATTGAGCACATGGCACAGAAATAGGGGTCTGATTCATTTCATCAACAATCATTTCATCAACAATCATTTTGTCAACAATCATTTCATCGAAAGTTTGTTTCATTGAAAGTTTATTTCGTCAAAAGTTCATTTTGTCAACAATCACTTTATCAAAAGTTCATTTCATCGAAAGTTCATTTCGTCAACAATCATTTCGTCAACAATCACTTCATCAACAATTATTTCATCAACAATCATTTCATCAACAATCATTTCATCGAAAGTTCATTTCATCGAAAATTATTTTGTCGACAATCATTTTGTTGAAAGTTCATTTTGTTGACAGTTTATTTTGTTGACAGTTCATTTCTACAACAATTCATGTTAATTTGCATGTATTACAGTGTCACCAATTATGTTTGGAA